TGTCTGTAGGAGTTATATAATCGGTGCGCAAATAATTGTGTCAAGTCCACTGCCGGGCTGATGCGGTGTCAGTGTCAAATTATAGACTTGTAGCACTCACAAGTTGCTTAGCCAAATTATTTGAAAAGTGTATATTCAATTCTCTGATAACAGGAAATATAACCTTAGAAAAAGATTCAACATACAAACAATCAAATGTAGAACACAGTCCTATGCTTATTATCATTTCTTCTGGATATGATCAACCTGCGGAACCCTCTATCCGATGAAGTAACTAATGCTCGCTCATTAAAAGAAATCAAATCCTTAATTAATCGTTCTGATGCAATTATTAATAATTTTGACTTCAAATATTTTCATAGATCATGCCAAATTGTCCACTGTCGCCTTAGGCTCGGCTGCAGTGACTTAAACGCTGATAAGCTTAGACGACATGTATCAGACATACCAGACTGCACTTGTGGATATCACCTTGAAGATGCAATTCACTTTTTCTATAACTGTTAAAAAATACGATAATATCTGAAACACTGTGTATTTCTACACACATGGATATGGTCTAAAAATTATATTACATGGCAGTAGTTAAGCAGTTCTACAAACGTGACTCTTCTTAAATCAGTTGTCAAAAGCAAAAGGTTTGAGTAGCTTAATTTTATGCATGTAGTAAAGGAAAACTGCATTACCTTATTTCAAAGACACCACTTGCTTGCTTTCATTTGTGCATTTTGTATGTTTATGTTCATCACTCTCTTATATATATCCAGCTGTTGTTAAGTTGTTACCTGGAGAGGTATTACATAAGCATGTTTTGCTTGTTTACCGATCCAGATTTCTTTTGAAATAAAAATACGTTTAAGCCAACACAGCTAACCGTAAAACACATGATTGTAAACTATTCAAAAAGGGGCACTAATCTCTGGCTTCTTCTCGGGTGTCGGACTCAAACTCATTTATTCTTAGAATAACATGACATACAATTATCTACAATTTTTATTATGTACAATTTAATAAAAATAGGATACGTGGATACTAATACAATTTACCAATTGTATTGTACACATTGTTAAGGAATTTAGATAGGCCTTTAAGATTTCTTACACTGTTAGTGGTCATAATTTTCTTAAATGTTTTGAAACTTAAGATATTGCTTATTTAAGAGTTCATATCGCCGTTGGTGAAAAGCTTCACATCGGAATATATAATGCAATTCATCTCCCACGGCGATAGAATCACAGAGTGGACACTGGTTGTCTTCCCTGGGAATGTTCAGCCATCGACCAGTTTCAACTGGTACTCCTTGGTTAGAAAGTTCTGACTTTTAGTATTGGGAGAAATATTGATTTTGAGAGCAGTAGATATTTCGCAAATGAAGGTTGATTCTTCAGGTAACACGACCTTTGGATTTCCGCTTTGGCTTACTAGCTGCCGTGAGTCAATTTGCTCGTTAACGCAACCGAGCGTGACAAGAGACTGGGCTACCAGTCTGCAAGGACAGCTAAATAAACTTACGCATTTTTGAAAACTGATTGGTTACCCGTGATGTATGAAGATTTCAACAAAGGGCGCATGGTAATTAATTTCTTCAGCCTAAACAAACAGACAAATAAGGGCGAAAGCTCATCGGATGTCGTCATTTGGAAATACCCCTGATTGTTACAGTTTGATCATAAAAAAGTATCCTTGAGTGAAAGCATTTGCGGATTTCGGATTGCGTGGATGATACAATTACTACTCCCTTGTTGTCATCCACATTTTCTGGTATAACCCTACACTTCTGTATTTGTCGTAAATCACTTGCTGCTCAGTTAATGAATTTATAACATGTATACTTAGTTGTAGCACCACTCAGATTACCCGATAAAGGTTCAAATTTGGTCTTTCTTGTACCTGGGGTAATTATTTAATCTAAATCCAGGTTTGAAGTGAGGTGGAATGTGAGTTATGCACGTCGCAGCCCAGCAAGTGATGTATGATCAGTTGCTTTACTTTTTTTGTAAATCAACTGATCATTCCCGGACATCAAAGGATCAACAGGAAATACGTTGATTGATTAATTACTGTTATCTTGCACAGTGGATATGTCAAAAGTAAGTGTTTACATGTGAAGGTAGGGTTACTAAACCTAGGGAATACTCATATCATGGCGTGAAGTACAGATGTAAAAACAACATACTTTGTTCAAAGGGTAACCGATAATACACTGACCGGTTGTTCATTGTTATCTAACTCAATGTATGTTTTTAAGAACCGTGGACATTATAAAAATAGTTGTCACGTGGGCTTTCTCAGCTAACTTGGCACCTATGTGAAACAATTGAAACAAAATAAGTGATCAGTTAAGAAACAAACACGGGTTATACTATTCGATACATTTAAATAACGTTTAAAAACGATATATTTAAAAATTTTAATATATTTCATATATATTCCAAATATTGTTTCCAAATAATTATTATTAAAGTATTTGATTCTCACATAGACATTTTACATCGAATAAGTATTTTTGTACAGCTGCAGACGCAATGGATATTGTTCCTGTATGTTGATATTCCCGGATACATTATAACTTTGGTAGGTTGTTATAATGATATTTGCATTTTGTTTTCATTCATTCGCTGCAGCTTTGAACAGAATCATTCTTGTTCCTTTCCGTTTGGTTGGGAAGTTTTTCGATGCGCGATAGACGGTGTTTTCACAAGTATTTTCTTTTGTAAGCGTGTATATGTTACAGTCAATGTGTAAAATATGATTCACTCAGGCAATTTATTAAATATCTAAATATTTCAGTCATTTTACAAATTGACTGAATAATCCATTCATTTATTTAACCGACTGACTAAAAATGATAAAGACGACCAAGAGAGCTTAAACACATCACAATATATTAATTATGCTAAGAAAAGAAGCCAAACAATACAGAACTGTACTTGGTGATGGTATTAAACATAAACAAATATTTGGAATTCGTTATCATATTAATAAAGATGGACATATTTTTCAGTTAATTTGTAAAATAAACTGAATATTTAGGCGTTTTAATACATTTCCTTAGTGAAATCTGTTTACATTTTGAATGTAAACATATACACACGGTAAAATAAGCAATGTTCAGTGAAATATTTACTCTGTGTTGCAAGTCAAAATAGTGTACACGAAGATCGCACAATTACCAAGCAAGTGACTTATCAAAACTGCATCACCATTACCGATGCTCCCCACAAATATACCTACATTTCAAAAACTGTATTTCATTTTTGTTGATCAGTGTGACCATACGTCCTTCTACTTTCAATTAAAATGCGCTTACGAATGGCGAGCACAGGTCGCGAACAAGTCTAGATTTCTGCTATATCATCCGGGTACTCACTGGGAAAATACAGTAATGCACAGGTAACAACTACTCCCGCGGAATTGCTTTAGATCAGTGTCCTTTGTACGTTGAAATACTATATATTGTGAAAGACAAAATGATGTATCAAGGATCAAGTAGAAGATACATTGACCGTTGCGCTGGGAGTTTATTCAACAGACCGTGAAAATAACACTGCTGTATCTTATTATTTATTTTAGATGATGCAGGCAAAGCTCACTTCTCCTGGCGGCCATTATCAAACGGCCAGCTAAAACACAACCCCGCGCTTACGTCTACAGGTCTCTTCCTGTAGTACGGTAATTAGTATTCTCTCCCTCAAGTGTATCCTCAATGATATAACCCACCCTCATTAATTACATGCTGCTCTTTTCCAGCCTCACGGCTATGGAGCTGTGATAAAGAGTCCAAGTCATCATAAAGTAATTAGGGTCCAATAAAAACAATGCGCCGCCAAACCTCATACATATTATCACTGAAAGTCGTACTACAGACGGTTAATGTCAGATCACAATAAAAGCATTTCAATTGCAATAACATGTTCCAGGACCATGTATTCTCTTAACACCATCGGATTTAGAAGCAATGGTCGTATAAAACAAAACAGATCTATTTAATCGCAACAGTATTCATGTTATTCCCACAAAATCACATAAAGAAAGGAGACATTAGGAAATACATGTGTATTATCATTTTTCGTCAGGATAACAAAATTTTCTCTCCTTGTTACCACCTCCAGGTTCAGCTTAAGACGGGTCCTCCTTTGGTCAAAAGTTTGTTCCCCCTCTAATGAGTGTGTCACGCGTTGCACACGAGTGGCGGACGGGGTGCACACCCGTGTGCAACGCGTTGCACACGGGTCTCACACGCGTGACCAACCCGATGCACACTGGTTGCGTAACGCGTTGCCCATGCGTGTAAGGGGAATGAACTTCTAGGCAGTAGTGTAATTTGAGAATGAAGTATATGCTGTTGTATATATTCAGGGAAACGCTTCGATCTGTTTAACAAAAACCTTGTTTCATAGTGTCCTACGAGGAGCTAGTTACACTCAACATCTTCATACTGCTCAACACATTTACCCATGATATAAAACAAAAAGACAATTCTACAATATATCTTGTGGACGCGGTCTTTGGTAGCAGCCCTTTTGGTTTCGGTTTCGGGGGAGATGGGGGTGGGGGGGGGGGGGGGGGGGGGATGGGGGCCTGTGTGCCCTATAAAATACTCAAGACCCTGTTTTACTTTATCTACTTACTTGCGGCTCACATTGTAGAAACAGTGTCCCCTTTTGCAGAACAGTTTCCAAAGAATACACTTCAAAACATAATAACGAAACACAATAGCGGAGGCCTTGTTTTCGTTGGAAAAAGTAATTGAGCTCCTAAACATTGAATTTAAAACAAATGCTCATCTCAAACAAAATTACCCCTAACACCTCCCAGCCCCTGTGAATCGAAGTGTTGCCCCCTTAACAACTTTCCGATATAGCCGTATGGGAATACCTGCAATCGTTTCTTTCAGAACGGAATCGTGACAGATATGTTTACCCACGTCTACGCAAGTCAACGTTTCCATGATGTATTATATCTGAGATAACGCTGTACAGCGTGGTTAGTCATATAAAACCCGTGCACTGTCATTACAACCTGCACTGGTATTGAATGTGGCACAGATACACACAGAGAAACATACTGGGGACGACGTCTTTCTGTCCGGTGACCGTAATATTCTCGGTCGAGGTGGAGCACTAGAGACAACAGAGATGCGACTGACAGCACATTTGCTGGTGTTGTTCATCTGCGCTGATAAAGGTATACTGATAATTTCATGTTTTTGTAGTTTGGGAAAGACATTTAGAGGAAACAAAATGTGAAATCGGTTCAGTTATGATTATCTGTGTGTGTACATTAATTTTTTTTAAATACTGTAACACTGTGGGGAATCTAGATCAGTGTCTCAAGCATATGGTGAGAACAGGCTAAAATCATGGTGATCGGGTAGCCAAGCTCAGGGTCTTACTGACCTCCTTCATCGTAACCGAGGGCGTCGATTGAAGCTCATTCTAAAGTCATTTGTCTGGTTGATTATTTACGGGCTTCTTTGATAAAGCTGTAATGAAAGGCTGACGCGTGGAACACCATTCACTGTAACTACAACAGACATGCGAATTATAGCCAATTTGCTTGTGTTGTCCCTTCTCTGTTGGTGCAGGAACACGGTATAATTTCCTTGTCTGTTTCTAATCAACTTAGCGGCCTGTTATACTTACCTTTGTCCAAGCGTGACAACAGACTGTGGCTTATATCGATGACATGGTGTTCTGCCAACTAGTCTGATGAGTAACGGAGTGTTGTTCAATCTCATTAAATTCAGACCTTAGTTCTCGCTACCGCTAACAAAGATCTGAAGACATCCTATTAGGGGTCACGTCAGAACGACCTTTCATCCGACCAATCAGTGCGTCGCTTACCAGACTATGAAAGTGACAGTCGGAATGTGATTTCTAATAATGCCATCTCGAAAACTTTAACATGGGTTATTCCGAACGATAGTTACGGGTTAAACGACTGAATCCTTATAATCTAGACCATTCAAGAATGTTTTTTTGTTCAGGTTTCAAATTTGTAATCGAGAATTTGTCAAAATATGTTTCGAAGCGTAGTCTCCAATTTGAAATTTGTGCCGTAAAGCACGAGAAAGGTGCCATCTGATTGGTCATTCCATTGGTCGGTCAAGGTTCGCGCAAGGTGGGTCTGACGTGACCCGTGATGGGATGTCCTCAGATCTTTGTTTAGCAGTAGCGAGAACTAAGATCTGATTTTAATGAGATTGAGTGTTGTTTGACTCCACTTTTAACAGTTTGCAGTTACGTCATATAACGTCAGCGTTATGTGGGAGTAAGGCCTGAGGTAATGCCACGTTGGTGAAACCCATGAGCAGGGGTATGGCCCTGACAGACCACGATAATAACCAGGGCAACAATCTTGACTTTTTATATGTTCTTTTCAGGACTATGTTCCATTGAAGGACGAAGGGACGTTACCGTTAGCAATAGGGAGAACCGCATCGATGCCTCGCCATGGGGGTAAGACATTGTTCCAGAGGATTTGACCTGACATGCAAAACGAATCCCCAAAGACGACAGTAACCCTTATAGTGTCATATAATAATATATAAACACTTATAATGCAACTAAATAAACGGGCAAATGAAAGTATACGCCCATGTGTGATGGTGACTCAAACGAAACAAACAAGAAATGCATTTGATAACGGTATAATAACTGTTCCATCGACTGTTTTAAGCCTTGGTTGTAACGTTTTGATAACATTTGTAATTGTGCGCTCAAATCCAATTTTCACGTGTATAGTTTCTTTTGCACAGCAGTTTATGTATAATGGGCTGAAGATGGATCATAAACATTCGAATATAATACTTGTATCCACATACGCTGAGTATGAAATATGGACCATTCGAGATTGTATTTGTCTTTAAAATGAAAGTTTGAAATGTTTCTTTCTATTTTATCCAAATATGTATTAAACCTTGACACGTGTATGCGCCTCTATAGAGATGTTTTTTTCGTAAAGCCATTTTGTCCACGTGATCAAAGTCTTTATCAGTATCAATAAATTGACATTTTCAATTTTACACTTTGAGTATATATTCTACTTTTGACGTGAAAAGCAAGTCTGTGCTATGCATTGTCAACACCAAGATTACATTTATCGATTTCTGTTATATTATTACATGTCTTGTTGATTTCCGAGGTTTTACCTGTTTTATAATACACGTGTACCGCATTCGGGAATATTACAAGCACATGATCATGAATGATATAGACACTGCAGGGGACGTGATCAAACTATTGTGGGCCCTGAGACCTCCCATATCTCAAATTTTCCCTCTGTGCATTGAGGGAGGCACGGGGGACCGTGTAATTTAAAGAACCGTAATTCGGTGTGTTGCAATATACCACTAGCGCTAGCTTATGGCGTCTACATGACGTCTGAGCATTGAAGGAGTCACGGGGGACCGTGTAATTCAAAGAACCGTAATTTGGTGTGTTTCATTATACCACCAGCGCTAGCTTATGACATCTACATTTCTCATTTATTTGGGTATCTCAATGAACATACACGTTATTCAAATTTCATGGAAAGACACATTTTGCTTACAGCAAATCAAGTCATTCTAGAAATGTTAAAGGTCTACATTCAGAAGAATCTTCTTCATATGTGACTCATTGCTTGTCAATATGATACACGATTCTATCTTATACTTACTTTACAAAAGTTTTCTCACTTCTTTACTAACTGGCATTGACTTTAATTGATCGGGTGTTCATGGATTGCGACTTGTTTGAGAGCGTGGCGTCGTACCGCAACGATGTGGATCATGCTCATGATACTGATCACTGGATTGTCTGGTCCAGGCCGTGTTCGTACAGTGTGAGTATTGCTGGGTGCGGCGTTAGGCAAGAACACTGGCTCTTTTTTATAAAAGGTGTGTGAGTGGCGGGTGCTACAGGTAGAACAGGACATGCTTACCCTCTTCGCGAACACCTGGTGTCATCACTGATTTTTAGTGATACATTCCTCTGATTTGCATCACTATTTTGCCGTTTACGCCAAATTGAATCCGTTTTGGCGGATAATTGAGACTGACTATGGTGGTGACGTTTTCTGTGCACCAGGATAATTGCTTCGCGTCCAAGATTTTACGATCCACGGTTTTGTCAGCACAGCACCAATGCTCCAGTGTTTCACAACAGTCGTGAACATCTCCGACCTGCGTACATTTGGGGGCTTTCCTCTCACTCCAGACACTCGCCTCTGGATCGAGGTCAGGCTCGTTGACTTGGGTGATAGCGTATCACCGTGTATCCCCAAATCCCCCTCCCCCCTCCCCCCCACGGCTTGGATAGTTGCTCACATGATCTATCATTGGATTGTCAGTCCAGAAAACAGCCTTCAAGACGGTTACTGCTTGGATCGTGTGTATTTCAGTTGCATTGTAGAGTATATTAGAGTGCGTCGTTATACAAGAAACAAATACACACCCTTTGCCGCAAGATGAACATGTGTACGTATTGCACCTTTATACCTCACACGCTGTAATTTCCGATCTCTGCATGTTCCAGATCACAGGCTGCATGGCATTTTACGACTCTTTATGAAGACCATTTTATTGTTTTGAAGATCACTGGCGCGACCAAATATACGGGCAACTGTTCATACGAGAATTCTGTCATAACATTCAAAGAAGAAGGTATTGGGTTTGATACAATTTATTTGGTTTCTATTGCAATATTAAATAAATGAAGTATGAATAAGAGTGGAGTATAATGAAGTATAACAGTGTGCTTGATATTATTTAGCTTTTGTTTGGTCTGTCTGAGCTAATAATATAGAACCGTCTCGGTTGTGGAGTGGATAGAGCTCCTGGTGGTTCGACCAAACGACTTTGAAAGTTGGTACCCATTGTTACTCTGCCAGGCACTCGGCATTAGAGCGATAAAGAAACGACTAGCCGGCTCTCAGTCAGTGGGGTATCTAAGTGTGCTAGCACTATAATAATAAGAGTGATTTGGGTTTAACGCCGCTTTTAACAGTATTCCAGTTATATCACGGCGTGTCAGCTTAATGTGGGAGGAAAGCCCGAAGTGATGCAGGTCTCAGACGTTTACCACTTCGGTGAAAACCACGAGCACGGGTATGGTGCTGACAAACCTAGAAACATAATCGGGGCGAACCGGGATTGGAACACACAATCATAGGTTCTGGCGTGCGAATCGCGGCGCCTTAGACGACTGGGCCACCCGTGCCCCCACATCTCAAATGAAGATCTAAATAAAAAGACATTTCCTCAAGAACACAAATACTGTTTGACAGAACTTGAGCGTGTGTTTCTTCAAAGTTTCTTTGAATTTTATTTCATAAACCTAGACGGGTTCATTTTTAATGAAGATGAATGTTGACTGTCTTTATATTTGCATCTGCAGGCACCGATGCAACAGGACTATTCCTCTGTGGTGACGGAGTCTATGAAAGTCGTGGCAGCGTTGTCACTGCAGAAATGACCGGTTCGCAGGCTGTCCATATATCCTACATAGCAAGACGAAGATGTAAGAGGGAACATTTATATGCTATATCCTACAGTGCAATATACATTTAGATGCTTGAAACTTTCCCAACGTTGGCTATCAATTATATGTCATAACTAGGAACATACAACGCAATCTACGTGTAAAGTTATTGCTTTTGTGTATCAGAGATTTCCATCTAAGTGTACTTTTAATGTTATATCCATGTCTCTTTCAGCCGATCAGTGCCAGGCCGAGCACCACGCAACACAATCTACATCCATTATCAGATCGGCTGTCAATCAGATTGAGTATGAATTAATATTCAATAATTTATATAATATATATTCTATGTCATCACAGTTTGATGAAGTCTGTCTGTCTGTCTGTCTGTCTGTCTGTCTCTCTCTCTCTCTCTCTCTCTCTCTCTCTCTCTCTCTTTCTCCATAAATATAATATGTTAAGTAAACAGTAAATCGTTCTTGTAAAATGTCTAAAGGAATTGTCTGAAGTGAATATTCTACTGAAGTTTAACAATATGATTTTGTTTATTCACATTAGAAGGTTGATATGGTGCCAATAAAGAAAGTATAGTTTGTGGATAATTTGTTTAGATACTTACTAAACGCTGCGAATGTCGCAACACATGCATAAACACATACGTGTAGTTACAAGTACACGGTATACTCTGTACGGTCTAACTATCTCCATTAATATCAAATCCAGCTTGTTCAGAGAACAATGCAAGTGGACCATCTATAGCAGACCAGGGTACAACGTCCGTGTTCGTGTGTTGGAATCCAATCTCCCTTCGCCCTGCTCTAAAAACCAGATTAGTGTTTATGTTGGTAAGTTGTTGTTTTGTACTTTGTTTAATAATACGTGTACCAAATACACTAAATACAAGGCGGTTCTTTTAACATCATGGTAATTCTAAATACAGTTGCCTTAATTAGTAACCGACACATAATGTGTTGTCTACTCTTATATTTACCCTAACTGCATACGCAATAACAGTCTCATGTACAGCATATGTTATTAAAGAAACGGTTATTACCTACTCACTCACTTACTTAAATTAGGAATTTAACGTGAAACGGTTATTGCGGCCGTGGAGTTTTTGGGTAGAATTGGTTGCTAGTAGCGCAAGAGTAGATTTGATTGGCTCGGCTGATCAGGCCATGTGACCCTGGTTGATAAGTTGGACCAATGACGTTGAACGTTGTTTTTTATAGCAACCACTAGTTTGCTTGGTCTAGGCTCGATAAGATACAGGCCGGTATAGCTAAATCATTGCTGACTGCAGCTTGAAATAACGCACAGACACGCGCGCACGCCCATACGGACAGTTATATTTGCTTTCTTATGATATGAGACCATTCCTCTTCTTCGTTTTCCTTTGAACTGATCAAACATGAAATTGTTACCTAAATATGACTATTTAATATGCCCTCTGACATTTCTAGATGGTCAGAACACGTTGTCATGGTGTGGTTCTGGACGATCTTCCTACACATCCCATGGCTCAGAGCTGGACATCCGGTTCAATATGTCAAGCATCTCTCATGGTCATGGTTTTACCATTGGGTTTACGGAAGTCATCGGTAAGCCAAGGAAAGCTTCAACACAATATGCTGCCTTCTTGTCTAACTCATAGCAATGCGTATATATGTTGCACTTAAAAATTGGATTTGAACTCAAAATTACAAATACGATTCTAGGCTGGAAATAGACGCCGAAAAATAGCAACCTTAAGGTCCAAGACACAGTTATGATACCCGTATTAAATGAATCAGTATTGAATAACAATTACCTTTTTGTTTCATGTAGAGCCGTCATCAAACTTGGTTTATACTTTCTTTTGCCTGGCAGTTCAGTATTTGTACTGTCTAAGATTCGTGTTTGTGAGTGAGTGACTTGGGTTTAACGCCGCTTTGAACAGTATTCCAGTCATATCGCGGCGTGTCAGCTTATTGTGGGAGGAAAGACAGAAGTGATGCAGGTCTCAGACGTTTACCATTTCGGTGAAACCCACGAGCACGGGTATGGTGCTGGCAAACCTAGAAACATAATCGGGGCGAACCGGGATTCGAACCCACAATCATAGGTTTCTGGCGTGCCCAAGGTACGCAACTCTGCACAGAGAATCGCGGCGCCTTAGACGACTGGGCCACCCGTGCCCCCCTCGTGTTTGTGACAGCTGTGACATACTGATAAACAAACTTTAAGAGTCCACGTGTGCATGCATTAATATCAATCCAATGCGGAATGTTAGTTCTTAGCATGTTATTATAGTGTCATTTCTGGTAGAAATTACGTATTTGCAGAGATCAACATGTACACAAGTTCATGTATTGCAAGGCATGTACTTTTGATCTTGCGCATGGTGGCAATCACTGGGTTGTCTGCTTCAGTCTCGATTATTTACAGACCGCCATCATATAGCTGGAATATTGCGAAGTGTGGCGTTGAACAGCGGTCAAACAAACAAAAACATTGGATCTGTGTTGTACTGAGAATTTGCTACGACTATGAAAAACGTTTCCTTTCAAACAATAATGATGAATTATCCATGTTTGTACAGCCGGGTTCAGCAGCTGCAGAGCTACTTACTTAGCCACGTATCAACCTCAAACGCTCACAATCAATTCTAACGTCCCCCCCAACCAAGTTAGACAAGGCTCGAAACAAGAAACAAGGTACAGTTTTCAACTTTTATTCGCAGACATTTCATAGTTTAGACTAGAGCTGTCTCCATTTAATAAAAATATAATGCTGAATGCACAAAATATTTTGAACATAGTTTTAAAAAGTGATGAAATGATGTTTCATAGTTATGTTTCCAGAAAAAAACGATTTAACCCCATTAATTAATTGTACTACTACTACTACTACTACTACTACTACTACTACTACTACTACTACTACTACTACCACTACTACTACTACTACCATCCCTAATACTACTACTAATACTACTATTATTATTATTTTTATTACTACTCTTCCTCCTCCTACTACTACTTTTTATCATAAATGTTTTTATGACAAGCTTTTATCATTTCTGTTATAGGCAGTGTAACGTGACACTCAGGACAAGTGGAGATAGCCAGGAGTTGTTGGTAAAAGTTCTGCAATCGTCGCTTCCTTCCCCCTGCTCTAACCATACAGTCCAAATGGTCGAAGGTTCGTGGCAGAATTGATATTTAAAAACAAATACAAGAGTACATTCGTGACTGTCTACCTGAACGAATAGAAAGGCAGTGACCGATTACCCGTTGGCTCCGCATGGACGACGGTAAACATAGCATTCACTGGTCCTCCTAATCCAGTTAAAACAAATTGTGGAACAATGAATTAGGTTTAATTTGTTCTCGTAAAAAATAGCGACGACAGAGAAAACTTCTCTTTATTTCTCTACAGTGTCAGGAACATCAAGACGTATGTGAATTATATATATATAAATATATATATATATATATACTAGCCACATTAAGAAACTGTGCACGGAGAAATATAGATATAAGGGCATACCGTCCACATATGAAATATAGGTTTGAACACAGCAATTATTGGAGACAATCAAACGCTCATGCACGTGTCATGCGATATGACGTCATTGATGGGGGCCTATGGACGTGCAATGTGTTACTGCACGTGCATCCTGTGCAGCTGTACACAGCATGTGCAACTCAAAATTCGCTGTCACTTTGGAAAGCATGATCTGTGGTCATTCAAAAATTCAAAACTTCTCAGGCGCAGACACAAGCATATCACAAGCAAATCATGCCAAGATTGACAGCTGCACGGCGTCATGAAGCCATTGGAATGATCCGAGCGGGAATGAGGCAACAACAGGTGGCAACACATTTCCAATGCCATCGTAACACGATATCGGCATTGGTGAGGCGTTATCAGAACACAAATGACGTTGCCGACCACCCACGTTCAGGACGTCCCCGAGTAACGACGCCAAGACAGGACAGATGGATTAGAGTTACACATCTCCGACACAGGTTCCAAACGGCAGTAATGACGTCCCAGACAATTCCTGGACTGCGCCGTATCCATCCCAACACTGTCAGGAATCGTTTACGTCAGTACGGGATTCGACCACGACGCCCTGCCATACGTCCCATCCTGACACACCGTCATCGAGTCAACCGTCTAAGATGGTGTCGAAATCATGTTCGCCAACCTCGATATATGGTGGAGAAATGTTGTCTTTACAGATGAATCGTTATGCACGCAACTGTTTTGTGGAGAGGAATCGTTTTGGAGGTGGCTCTGTGATGATTTGGGGTGGGATAACAGCACGGCACCGAACCCCTTTGGTGGTTGTTCAGGGCAATCTCACCGGTGTTGGCTACAGAGATCAGATTCTGAGGCCTGTGGTCATTCCTTTTCTGCAACGTCATGGCCCGGGATTGACATTTCCACAGGACAACGCTCGTCCTCACACGGCTGGGGTCGCAATGGATTTCCTTCACCATAACAATGTCATGCTACTGCCATGGCCTGCAATTTTTCAATCCAGAATATATTTTCTCCGTGCACAGTTTCTTTATGTGGCTAGTATATACATCATGAGTATACTGTTGCATTTATATAGACCCGTGAAGATCCGGGTTAGAATAGGTCTTCAGCAACCCATAAGAGGCGACTATGCTTGTCGTGAGAGTCGACTAATGGGTTCGTGTGGTCAGGCTGACTTAGTTGCATGTCATCGAGGGATAGATAATGCGTGACTCAGAGTTACGAGAAGGTGACTGTCAATATTACTCGTCATTGTCATTTGAGAATAATGCAAAAATCGTACGAAGAGCCAGCCATATAGGGATACTTCACTACAGCCAACCTATTGTTCAGATAGCATAATGTTCTTTATGACGTCAGGAACAATGGATGATATTGATCTCAACAATGCAGAAATGTGATTTCATGTCGCATAAACCGACCGATGAGCACCGCGTTTCGTAAAACTACAGATTCGCAATTTAAGGAAAGTTGTCACACTCGGCCTTTTTTACCCGTACGGAGAATATGGTCTTTGTGGTCTTATGATAATCGTTACATTGTAAATTTGTATAAGGACCTTACCAGCGAACATCCTGGTGCGGACACTCAACACCCTCCGTTCAGTCAATGGGGACCTTTTTGACGATCAAGTACAACGCCAGCAGTGTTACCAATGGACCTGGTTTCACTATTCAGTACAGGACAGTTACAAGGCACAGAACTCGGCCTTGTTACTTATATCCATCCTGGAGTTACCGACTACCGTACACACCTTCAACTAAGGACGGTATGCATAAACTCTATTTCATATCTTAGAAAGACATCTAGCATCGTTAAAGCAAAGGCATAATATCTCTAACGTTGAAGAATTGTGCGGTGTCTCAGTTAAATATGCGAAGGAAAATGGTGTAAGAACGTTAACTGAGTCTTCCTAATGTAGCATAATGTACTCAACAAAAGAAACCGATGCCGGTCGTACTGGATAATTTTCATGAACTAGGTTTTTGGTTGCAAACAATGCAAAAAATGTACGAAACTACCCTTAAACAACACCAACTCCAATGAGAGAAGGTAGGGAGGTAAATCTCATGCTGCAGGAAATCGTCATAAAAAGTGGTTTGTTTGATTAATAAAAAAACCAACATTTTCGGTAGCCTTGCATATGATCGTTTACACATTGTGGGAATATTTCCCATCGGACACAAACAGTCGTTTTATCCAATACAATAAGGCATACGGGTGCCAGGCTTGTCCGAAAATGATCGTAAAAGAGTTATTGGTATGGTTGATTCGGAACGTCTCAACGCCAGGTGGCACGACAGTTTAACCTTCACAGTAACACCTCCTAGAGCTTTGGCAACGTTGGCAACAACAAAACTATGTTTGGGATAAATCCCGTAATGGAATCATTGTCAGGAGACAAGCAATATGACCAATCTTGATAAATAAACATCGCCGCCTGCGCTTAAGTTGTGCAGAGAACGTTTACGCCGGGTTGTCTCAGTGGAGACGGTGATGTCTCAATGAAGACGGTGATGTCTCAGTGGAGACGGTGATGTCTCAGTGGTGACGGTGATGTATCAGTGGAGACGGTGATGTCTCAGTGGAGACGGTGATGTCTCAGTGGTGACGGTGATGTATCAGTGGAGACGGTGATGTCTCAGTGGAGACGGTGATGTCTCAGTGGAGACGGTGATGTTTACAGACGAATCTCGTAACGAGTGTACAGACAATGTGATGAACGTCATGTCAATAACTGTGTCATGAAGGAAGATCAGTTCGGTTGGGGGAGAGTTATGGTATGGGGAGGGTGAAGAGCAACACAGTTGGTGGTTATTGCTGTAAATATCAATGCACAACGTTACCAGAAAATGATTCCTACATTGCCTCGTAACATGCAGCTGTATGTTCATGTATATCATCCTAAAACACGTCACAGTTTCCTTTGTTGCTGAGCATATTTTTATATGTGTTTCAAATTGTAGTATACTTTTTTAAGCAAAAGAAATATGAATTATGAAATAGGATTGTATGAAACTCAGTTATCTTTAGTTTAGAATCACGATGACGTTCAAGATTTACAAGAAACCTTTGTGTATATTTACAAATGCAGCATGGTGGTCGTGCATCAGTTTCCTTCATGCCATGAGCACGATGCAGACCATGAGAGCAACCAACAATGACTTCTTCACAGTATATCCATATTATCAGAGGTATGTCCAATGTCCTAGTGACGGTTGCGATTTATCTTATCTAAACTAGTTTCATCATAATAATAGGTGTAATGTCGACTTGATAAATTGTACCATAGCCTGTCAAACTCGAATCATGTTCCTAGTTTGTTTGTTTTCCGAAAGAGTATACGCAAATGACGTCCTGCTCGATTATAAGGTCACTGTCTATTGTATCTCCATTCTATCGTGATGAATAGCCTCGAACGTTTCAGAAGTGACGTCATTATCTCAGCTCACAATGTTTCTCCTTCAGGACAGTGGTTTCACTGGACGGATATTTTCAACGCCATGCTATAAGGATAAGTTCTCGACGTTATGTTGGAGTATGGGCTTTGGTTAAATTTGATTCGCCGGATATTTGGGATTTGATAATAGAGGATGCATCAACGTCGACCTGCGCCACTTTGAGCTGACGCGCCGTGGTTTTACTAAACTTCTGTCCCAAGCAGCCTTAAACTCAAGTCACTTCCGCAACATCAGAACTAACTATGTAAACATACTTTTAATCACCAGAATGACACGGGAATGGATGATCCTGGCAGGACAAGGCAGACAAGTATATGCTGAAATTGAGCCCTATTCCGGCTTGAGCTGTTCGCATGGTTTCATCAGGTTATATGATTGTAAGTTACGACTTCTTATATTAAACTGGCCTTTGACACTAACAATCGCCTTTGTGACATATGCATAGTGGCTGGACATGTGTGTCAGCATGGTACTTCATCTGTTGAATAGTTACTGTTAATCGCCTATTACCGTATTACTCCATACTACTATAGTTTTATTATTGAGGTTTGCTCGTCTTTGGTGTAATCATTATACCAGATTAACATTTCCATTTCAAACTTAAAGGTGATGTTAACAACAGCTACAGATACTTAGGATCTTGGTGTGGTGGTGAGACCAAAACGTTCCGTTCAAGATCATGTCTGGCTGTACGCGTCAACGCAACCAGCCTCAATGACAGAAACAATGTAATCTTCACTCTTAAGTACAAGTATACACAACAATTGTCTTATGGAACAACAATCAGACCAACAGCAACCATGTGGCCGTGGATGACAAGCAGACCATGGGCTACCGAGCTGCCATGGGGAAACGGTAACCCATGGATGAACCATCGACCACGGACAACAGCAAATTACTGGGCCATGTACACAATGTCCACGCGGAGTCCATGGGTTAAAGGTGATAGGCAGAACAGCTCCTTTAACATTAACACAATTATACCATTTTCCCTATTACACTTCATCCTGGCATTGCAGGGCATGTGACACCTACATACAATCTAGAGTTCAATTGGAATATATTTCATATAGAGCCTGTTAGGTTACGCTAGGTGCAACTAAAGACAAGAAAGAAAACAAACATACATTAATGTTAAACCTAAGAGCGATGAATCATTGAATATATAATGTCTAAATCTGTAGAGATTTTGCCGCGACACTAACACTGATTCCTGATCAATGCTATTTCAACTGTACGTGTTTATGTACTTCGTATAAAATGTACTAAAGAGCTAGTTATGCCTGTTTCCATCTCAGCAAATCACACAACACAATCTGTCTGCAGTGAAGTCACACGCAGTGTTAAGTCGGGTGTTCACAGTCAGGTGTTGGTTATACCTGCACTTTCCAGGTAAATATTCATGTCAATTAAAGCAGAAATATTACAGTTACAATTACAATAATGTTATGAAGGTTTCTGCAATGCATGGACAAGAATCACAGAATGTGGCTGTTGTTATATAATATCATTTTTTAAACACAGACCTAATAATAGAGACCCGCAGGTCTGAAGGCAACTAAGATGTTTCAATAGAAACAAAGTCAAAATATAAATATTTTATCGTGGAATTCATTTTTGAATTTATAATGATTCATTACAGAAAGCCTTTGTTTAATGTATGTATTAATATGTTTTACGTATTTGCAGAGTAACATGTAGATGGAGACTGACGACTTCAGTCCTTGCAGATTCTGAAAATCAAATAGAACTGAACCTGGAATCCTGGTCCTCAGAAATAACAAGCTCCGATATGTGTTATGGCAGGTACCTGGAAGTGTTCGATGGTACGCTGATACATGATACAATTTATGAACACCATTAGGTCATAATGACATATGCTGATTATAATATCATGTTGATATCTTTTATTTAATAGTATTATCCGTAGTTCATCATTGTTTTAAGGATAAGGTGAATATGCATGCATGCTTTAAAAAGCTATGTGCAATTTGCTTTGTTTAGGTCCGTCCTCCAGCTCTCCATTCTTGGCCAGGTGGTGTGGTCAGTCTAATCAGACACTGGTCAGCACAGGTCAAGTTATGTTTCTGGTGTACACTGGTGGTTCTAGTTACCCATGGCTGCCCTGGTCAGTCCATTACAAGACCATAGTTGACGACAGCGTCCCTGATGTTGGTAAGTTTAGTGTTGTAAACGCACAGGTTGCTCTCTTGAAAATATAAAGAATTTTGGTTTGTTTTTTAACGTAACGAGACATTATTTTGCACTCCACAAAATAGAGTTGAATAAAGATATAAATTAATCAATATGATGTAATTGCATACATGGACGAATAATCGTGTATCATTAACACAGATCCATAAGTATGTATATTGTCGATATTAATGTATGTGAGAGAGTTGTTAGCAGTGTCAAGAATACGTACAATTAATTGTGGGCCATATAGTGTGCACAATGTTGTAACTGAGGATTTTCAAACATGGAAAAGCAATTCGTTAAAAGAGGGGCTTAGAGTCTACATTTTTATTTTAAATTCTTGGTGTATCTTTGCTTCAGCTTCACAGACAGCATCCAGCTCCAACAAAACCGGCGTCGTTGTAGGTTCGGTGTTTGGCGTTGTTCTGTTGGTTTTGGCCGTGGCAGGTGCATTAATTGCGTGGAGACTTTATCGCAGAAAGAAAATGTCACCTTACCAGAACCATGATATCAGCCATCACAGTGAAGCGGGGAGTTCTGTGTTTACGGTAACGCCACCATCCTTCTCCAATGCTGTTTACGAAGAAGTGAAGTCACCGAAGACGGGCAAAGAAGCAGCTAAAGCCCCCTGCAACCCCTATGATACGCCTAACACCAATGTACAACCCGAGTTCACCCGTAATGAATACTTGTCTCTCTATCAGCCACTTGTTCCCGGGTTTCCCAAGGGTAACGTCGAAGACAAATCAGTTACCTACGATAACCATGTTCGCGACGGCAAGGAGACTTTGGCCCCTGGCAACGTGTATGCTACACCTCACATCTATGACGAACCTCAATTCAACCTCTACCCGGATCTGCCTCTGTATCAGCCGCTAAACCGCACCACTATCAAGGATAACGCCAAGGACAGATCGGCTCTCGATAATAACCATGGTAGCGGGGCTGTGGAGGATTCGGAGATTTGAGGGGTTGACTCAGTAATATTCTGGGAGGATGGGTTTTTGTTTGTAACATCATGTTTTGACTTCAATATATCCATATTTGTCTTTGAAAAGTACAACCAAACAATCCATTTTACTTAAAACAAATTAAATCGTCCAATGAACGATTTTGTTTGGTAAAACCTGATTAATTGTTTATTTCCACGATTTTCGTGAACGCATAATATTTTCAAAAAGAGTCCCTGTCATCCCCATTCCTCCCCAAGAATACCAGCTATAAATTGACCGAAGATGGAACGAAACGGACTGGACTTTGAACATGAACATGTGTGTGTGTGCGCGCTTGAATTTAGAAATAACTATTGCTAAAATTAATTGCGTTTTTGTTTGCAAATGTTTCACAAATCAATGTTTTATTGAATCCTGAAATCTGTGACGTAGTCTCACGTCCTCAACATTCGGTTATAAGACTTTACAATGCTTACTTTTTTTATCAACTTAATTAATCATTAACGTATCGATTAACACAGATGTAATTTCATTGGTAATAAGGAATGCACTGTAATAAAGGCTTTCAAAACAAACCAAAATAGTTTTTGACTTGATTTTAAGGATGCCACCATGCACGCGTACGGGTATTGCGAGGAACAAAGAGCCAAGTAAAATGGGTATCTGTTAGTTTCAATTGTATAATATGTTTGCATTGTATATTTATACCATTGTACCAAATGACGCATTGTGTTGATCATGCTATCAACCACTTGTTTCACTGGATCAAAATCAATGACTCATATGCCACCGTGATACAGCAGTAAATATGTTGTCTGTGGCTGTGCCGTAAATGCCAATGGGAATTCAAATATAAATCCATACGTAATATCAATTCTTGGTTTGCATTGGTTCCAAGTACCCAGTGCGTGTGCTAAGACTTGAACTAAATGTATCATTGTACTATGTCAGCGTGGGGCCTTGTTACCAGTATCAACTACTGATTTGTCTAGACTCGATTAGAAGCAGGTCCCAAGGAATAATGTTGAACACTGTAAAACAGTGTTTGAAGTTCTTTAACAGTTATTAACACGTGTTGTGTCGGCCATCTTGACATTTGCAGATATCAACTTCCGTGAAAAACACCAAAGGAATGAGTAAAGGTTAATTAGGGAGGCCCAACACGTTAATTAATAGAAGGAAGGTTGTCACTTCCTGCCCAGGACATCACACCTCATTTGCTAAGGTCAGTGAGAAACCGTCACACACAGACATACCAAAGAAAACACGAAGAATCAAGAAACTGCTTCTTCTGAGAGGACTCTATACTGTCATAGTTAGTACTTTATTATGTTGTTGGATATACATTAGATTCCAACTCGATTCCTTCAGAAAAACTATGCATTCGAAATGTCTTTCAGAGATACATTTGCCCACATGTGCAAGTTTCGTTTTAATTATCTGCAACCCGTTTTTAGAAATACCCGCTGGTCACACCCGGCCCGACTTTCTTGGCCCGACTTCTGGGCAATGTCAATCAACGGTTTGTCTGGACTCGATTAGTAACAGGCCTCGAGGATATAAAAATATTTATGTTACTATTTGCAGATGATATAATTATGTTCTTAGGACTGTTTACAAACTTTGATACATCAGCTCGAATTGTATTGTGATACGTGGAAACTTAATGCTAATTTGGATAAGACAAAAAATGGTGTATTCAGCAAAGGAAATATAGGAAATGTTTTATTTGGGATAACATTTTCTTAGTAAAGTACCGATCTAGACCTTTTTGGTGTTAAGTCCATCAAAGACTGAGTAAACATGATATTTTAGCAAAGGAAATACCTTTACCAACCCAATAAAAAGCCGAGTGCAAACCGTTTTGAATTCGTCAGAATGTCGGATTTGGAACACTATTTTATAGAAACATAACTGGAATTACTGTGTTTTACATTTTCTTTTGCACGAATTTCTTCTTCATATCATTTGACCAAATATTACATTGTTTATACTTTTAAATGCCTATATCCTGAAGTGTCATCACTCTACTATAAGAAATGTGACTATTATTAGTAAATTTTTTAACTAATAAAGTTTGTTCAACATGCTTCTACCACGATTTAACACTCATCTTTCATTAAAGATATGTATAAACCTAACTCATCAATTCGCGGCGTCCCTGGGAAAAGACCCCAATAGGAACTCAAGCCTCCACGGAGACGACACTATATAATTAGCAATCCGTGATCTTCTTAATGTGATTGAAAAGAAACAACACTCAAAGGATGCCCACTGGTCTGTCTCTAAAACCTGTCAAAGTGGAAGAATGGTATTCAGTTTGCATTTATTGCCGTGCTGCGCTAAATTCACACTTTACTATAGATATCTATGGGGGAAAACATTCACCATGTTAACAGTTTCGCGTATAGTATGAGCACCAGTATTTAACTCTTTAAATTAGTTTAATCACATATGAGTAAAATTAAGAAAACATTATATTATTGTGTAGGTGTGCAGTATCTTTTCGCAAATTGATAAAAAGTGCGACTTCAGGTATTTGTCCCTCAGTTTCTAATATGCAGCGTTACATTGATAAGGTGAGGTGGAATGGGGTTTAACGTCACGCCCAAGATTATGACACTTATATAGCGACGTGCACGCACGTGTGTGTGTTTGGCTGTTTTAGTCCGGACTGATGCCGATTTATAGTGCTAGCCGACTGAGATACCATGCCGCAGTTTAACATGAATACCCCACTCAGACACAGTATACTGACTCCGAGCCGACCAGTCGATCTCACACATATGTTTGATACCAGTTATCTCATATGGGTTTCTCACCCACAGGTGTGTAAGAAACGCCTAACACCAATGAACAACCTAAGCTCCATCGTAAATAATACTTGTCTCTCTATCAGCCACTTGTTCTCAATGTTTCCCAAAGGTATCGTCGAAGACAAATCGGTTACCTACGACAACCGTGTTCGCGACGGCAAGGAGGTTTCGGCCCCTGCCACACCTCTACCAGGACCTGCCTCTGGTTCAGCCACTAAACCGCACCATTATCAAGGTTAAGGTCGAGGATAAATCAGCTACCTACGATAACCATGTTAGAAGGGCTATGGAGGATTCTGAGATCTAAAGGGCTAATCCTGTAATATTCTGGGAGGTTTGTTATTTTGTTTGCGAGATGATATTTTAGCTTCAATATGTCCTTACGGGCTTTGAAAGGAGAGAACTAAACAACGTAGTGTACTCAAACACATTACTTTTCAGAACATCCAGCAGGTACCATGTAGGATTGGGTTTGGTAAAACTTGATCAATTGTTTTTTTCCATGCTTATTTCCAATAATTAAGGGCATCTAAAGGCGAAGCACACCAGACCTATGTACTCACAAATAAATGGACAGGCGTTCAATCAACAAAATGTTGAACATGTTCAACATTTTTCTTACGTGTGTTGTCTATTAACTATTAATAGAAGTCATTTCATAACAAGCCTTACTTTCGCACGTATCTTTGCAAGAGGTCCAGATTCTATATTTGACAACCTCTTGACGTCAGCAAACATGTCAAGGGAAGGGCAGAACTCTATAAATAGTCACGTTAACTTGTAGTTCATAGCAGTTCAATGGCTTTCTGAACAACACATTTTACTCTCAGCATATATGTTCGGAGGTTGTCTTACATGTGAAGATGCCGCCATGTTCACATTCACATTTTGATTGGATCCCCTATTTTCACATCGTCAAGTCCCGAGACAGAGAACTCTTTGAAGATCGCTATAATGGGAGCCGCTGCTGTTGGTAAGAGTGTCAGTATCAACAAATTTATCAATGGCACCTACCCGAGATGCTACTGGCCAACTGTGCAAGAACGCTATACTAAAGTCATAGACGTAGATGGCCGACACATCATCCTTGATATTTTCGACACTCCTGGAGGGTACTGTTTCTCTTATTTAAAAGAGCTGGCCATCGCCAACGCTGATGCATTTGTACTTGTCTATTCAGTTGGAGATGAGGCATCCTTTGAGACAGTGAGTATACTATGAGATATGATTGCTCAACAGAAGCCGCGTGGTGTTCCTGTCATCGTGGTCGGCAACAAAACAGACATCTCGACCACCTCTCGCTTTATGTCGGACACAGCACATAGCCTGGTAACGTTAGCTTGGCAAGACGATTACATAGAAATCTCAGCGAAGGATGACTCCAACATTTCTGACATTTTTACAAGTATAAGTATTGTGAGCCAGGCCTGTTTTGCAGTTTCTAAAAAACAGTTGCAGCCAGAATTCTCTGTTCTTTTAAACGCAGATTAATGAGATTCTTTAAATCTTTTCGACGTCGGAGAAGCGTCCAGTAATCGCAACAAGTTATAATTATATTATCAATGACTGGGACACTTCATTTTCATATCAGCTGCTTGAATATGGCACTTTACAAATACAATAAGTGGAGCAATTATTTACATTGATGAAATAAAATGTTTGTACAATTCAGTATTTTGTTACGTAATCATTTTCATTTATACATCATGGTCACACAGAAGAAAGGCATCCACTTTACATCATTAACTAGATCGTTATCTGGCACAGAGGATGTCACTGAAAGCCATAGCTGGGGAAACCATTATATGAAACGCCATTATCATAATAACAGAATGTATAAAATTGTTGAAGTCTAATGTTGTTACGTATCAGACGTAACGAAATCCCCTTGAAGTGTTATTGTGAATTACGATACTCAGTATGCTATTTACGTATTGTATTCTGTATTAACTGATCCTGACTTATCTTTTGAGTTTTTATAATGAGGTGGGAAAAACCTTTCCAAATTCACATGAAATCTCTGCCAAAAGTAGAGCCGATTGTTTAATTCCGACTATGTCATGAGCATGCATCCATGAATCATTATCAAATAGTGATGATACCAGGTGTTCGCCAAAAGGTGAGCATATCCTTCCCCATCGGTGGTACCCGTCACCTATACATGCAAAGGCTAGTCAATTATTCACCTGAAACATATGTGGTAGAAGTCATTTTTGTCATTGGAAATGTCATCCACATGTGCACCATAAACTTTTGAGGAAGAGTCGCGTGGCCCTCTTTGAAATGTTGTTAGAAAGAGCATGCTAGTGAAATATTGCTCGGAATGAAGGTAAAGCTGACTATTGGAAAGTTGAAGTCATCCCTTTTGTCATACAGTCTTTTTGAGTGAGTGAGTTGGGTTTCACGCCGCTTTTAACAGTATTCCAGTTATATCGCGGCGTGTCAGCTTAATGTGGGAGGAAAGCCCGAAGTGATGCAGGTCTCAGACGTTTGCCACTTTGGTGAAACCCACGAGCACGGGTATAGTGCTGACAAAACTAGAAACATAATCGGGGCGAACCGGGATTCGAACCCACAATCATAGGTTTCCGGCGTGCCCAAGGGACGCAACTCTGCACAGCGAATCGTGGCGCCTTAGACTGGGCCACCATTGCCCCCACAGTTTTTTTGAAAATGCATAGATCTAAACATGGCCGTTACATGACTGACCATGAGTAATGGTTAAAACCACCATGTTTCAACAAATATTAGTTTATTCG